GTGGGAGGAGATGATCAAGAGGGAGGGAGGGGAGACAGAAGGCGGTATGGGGTCCAAACCACAGGCAAACCAGAGCGAGCGGTTTTCTGCACTTGGCTGCATTGTTGGACAGTATCTGTATTGGGTCTATCTGTGACTGTGCATGCACATGCCTGTACTGATTTCCTCTATGCCATATGCTTAGTTGACTCTCACCCAGAGTCTCTCATTCATACGGATTCCTGTGCATCATTCTCGTCTGGTGACTTGAAACACATAACTATCCATGCGCATAATGCAGCTCTCTTACTTTCTGCATCCTTCTTTGTGTTCTTCACTCTGCCGTGAGCGAAGCCAAGATGCATCCGACTTGTTTTTGCTAGAAGGGGGTTAGCCCCTAGAATTAAGTTGAGCTCGCAACTTGTTTATCAACAGGTACATATTACATATGTATAGTACTTAGTACTGTGTACTATCCGGCCACAAGTTTGGGGTAATTAATTAACTAATTGTTAGTAATCAATTGCAAGGAATCTGCACGTCAGCACTGTAATGCCAGGTGCCCGCTACCGGGTCAAATCCAGTCGCAGAAGAGAGCACCGGTAATTTAGGGTACGGTCCTGTCCCATGCAGTTCGGTCTAGTCTCAGGTAAGTCAGCAGCCCTGGGTCCCAGGAAAGCCAGTGAACATGGAAAACAGACCCAAGCCAACAGGCTACGGGGTATGGGTCCAACAAGTCCAAGCGCTGAGAAGGTGGATCAATCACATACAAAAGCACAGCAGCAGTAGCAATCAACGTTCATTTCATTTGTGCTTGCTGTAGAAGTGCTGTTCCGCAGTAGTGTGCCCAAGTGATGAGTGAGACAGGAAGTGAAGCTGAGAGTAGCTGTCGCTGACGGGCTCCGCTCTGGGCGCCATACTTGTAGTGTATCATAGGCAAGGAAGAGAGAAGACATTCAGAGAGAGAGAGAGAGAGAGAGAGAGAGAGAGAGAGAGAGAGAGAGAGAGAGGCCTGAGGGTCAAGAGTGATAGTCCATCTGTGGCTGTTGCCTGCTGAGAGAGAGAGAGAGAGAGAGAGAGAGAGAGAGAGAGAGAGAGAGAGAGAGAGAGAGAGAGAGAGAGAGAGAGAGAGAGAGAGAGGCCTGGAGGTCAAGAGTGACAGTCCATCTGCGGCTGTTGCTTGCTGGCAGCCAATGCCAGCCATACCAACCCAGTCTTAGTGTATACAAAGTTACAAACTTGTTCCATGAGATTTTGCTTTCTGAACAGTTTAAGTTCTCGTATTACATAGTTTTGGTTTCCATCTCCTCCTGTGCTGAAGTGTGAGGTGTTGGTTTGAAGTCTGGGCGCTGCTTCAGAAAAAAAAAAGAAAAAAAAAGAGGAAAAAGTAGCCCATAACGTCATTGCATCTATTTGCTCCAGGGGCCTGGACCCACCAGCAAGGTATTCTACCACGCCGTTCAGGATTTCGATCACGTGTGGCATCGAGTGACTCGGTACGGCCGTCGAATAGATTGGATCTCGACGGCATGGTAGTTTCCGAGCGGGGACTGTAAAGATGCCCACCTCCCGTCCAATGAGATGCGTCGAAAAGAAAAAAGAAAACGAAGTTGGACTAACTTGGACATGATAGCTCGTGGCTTTGCGTGGGCGGGAAGTCAGAATTTTATGGGCTCTAAAGGGGGGGGGTTGATTTCCAGACTTCGTTTTTTTTTTTTTTTTGGCTCTGA